CAGCAGATTTGCTTAATGCAATACAGTGTTTGTTTTAACTGCTGCTTCCATGATTGTTGATAGTTGACCCAAGAAGAATGAAGTCCTTGACAACTTCAATCTTTTCTCCATTGATAAGAATGATGTTTACTGGTCCAGTGGTGAGGATTTTTGTTTTCTTGACATTGAGATGTAATCTATACCAAACATATGATGGATTCAAACTGCTAATCTCTTAATTAATAGCCCAACTCCTAACCCATTATGTCACCAGGCTCCTTGTAATATAAAGTAGAAAGTGAAAATAAAAGATGGCATGGGTTGTTCTAGTTGAATGAAATGTTTTGTAACCAAATTAAGTGATTAAGGGAAGATAATCAAACAGTAGATGTGAAGAAGAAACACAAAGATGCACATAAGGATTGAGCATGACAAGGAAGAATTATTGGTAGAAGGTGGTGAAAGAGATAAGCCAATAGAAATAATTTCTATATGAACATTTCAGAAAAGTTTCATGAAAGTGATGCTTTTGCCATGGTTAGATTAGATCAGACTACTGGAACTTTAGGAAAAGTTGGAATTCTAAGAAAAAGATCCAGCAGTTCAAACCCACCAGCTACTCTTTGGAAACTATACAAAGTCGCTATGACTTGAAACTGACTCCACAGTATTTAACATAGCAGGTTAGGCTACAGGCTTCACATCTCTTCAAAGCAACTGAGAACAGAATAATGTGAGAACTTACATAAAATTGTATCTTTGGGAAATACTTTTTAATTTCTTTATTCATTCAACAAATATCAAGCACCTAATTTATTGTTTGAGGAGCCTTGGTAGTGTATTCAGTTACAAGTTGGACTGCTAACTGCAATGTTGGCAATTTGAATCTACCAGCTGCTCCTTTGGAGAAAGGTGAGACTTTCTGCTCCCATAAACATTTATAGCCTCAGAAACCCTATGCAGTGTCATTATGAGTCAGAACTTTCTCATCAACACATAATCGCCACCACCACTATGCTGAAATTGAAGTTTGAGCAGACAAAAATCTTTGTTCTTATGTTGCTTTGCTTTTCTATACCATTCTAATGCACATCAATGATGTGAATGACATAATACATGTGCATCTGTTTCTCTGAGTGTATTTATGTATTGTTGCTGTTACTAACTGTTGCCATTTGGTTGATTCCTGCTTATGATGAGGCCATGAGTACAAAGTAGTCTGTGCTTCATAGGATTTTCAAATCTGTGAGCTTTCAAAAACAGCGAAGTCTGTCTTCTGAGGTATCTTTGGGTGGTTAAGTCTACTAGCCTTAAAAGTAGTTGTTGTTAAGTGCCATCTCGTCTCTTATAATTCGTAACGGCCCTGTTTAGGGTTCCAGAGGAGAAACTAGTAGATTTGAACCATAGACCTTGATGTTCTTAGTTCAGTGCTTATCCTACAGTGACATTTAAGTTAGTAGTTGAGTTTTAACCCTTTTGAACCACAAGGAATATACATATAGTCCTGGTGTGGTGCTGTGAGTTAATACAGTGGACTGCAAGGTCAGTTTGAACCACAAGATCAGAGGTTCAAGCTCAACAGCTGCTTCTAGGAAACCCTATACAGGGTTACTATGAATCAGAATGGACTTGATAGCAGTTAACAACATCTATATCTATATCTATCCATATA